AGTGCAACCATTAGGATGGTAGATTAGATCATTTGATTAATTATTTATTAGTTAGTATTTATTTAATAGGTCATATTTATTATTTAATATTTATTGTAATCTAGTTTTATTATGTGGGTAGAATTATAAGCTCCTTTGAAGATTCATGTTCTTTACCTTGATGCATTTGTTAAACCGACACGACTAGTAATTAGGATGTACTTGGGTTAGCTCTAGGGTTTCCATCTCGCTAGTGTAAATAGGGATGTAACCTTGTTTAGAATATCATCAATCAAGAATATCATAGACCCTAGTCTTCTCTTTTGAAGACGCTCGAATTTTTTCTATATCCGATACAAAATTCCTATCACACTTCAAATTGAAAATTATAGAAAATAAAATATGTAAGGCTTAAATAAATATTAAATATTAAAATTATTTACAAAACTTTTTAACAAAAAAATGTTCACGATATAAGCCATTTACTTTGTATTAACAATTTTTTCGCAATTCAAAAATTTAAATACCAAATTTTAGATTTTAGTTAAAGATACAAATTTAATACTGAGTAAGATATTACTCCATAGCATGCTTTAATTATGGAATAGTATACAAATTAAATGACTACCCGAAAAAATTAAATAAGAACCACAAATTCAAGCGTCCGGCCAATCCGAACTTTGCACATGAAATCTTAATTCAAAGTCTAGTTTTGACTTTTTGAAGATGTTGTCTAAGTTTTTAACTTCAATGTTTTTAAAATTGATCATCCGATATACTAACTGTAACAAAAAAAAAGGCTGAAATATAGATGCAATGAATTATTGTCTATGTCAAAAGTAAGTAAAAAACTAACTAAGAAGTTTTAAACATGGATACAGTTTGAATAGTGGAATTTGCCCCAAATAGTTTATATTATAGGGTATTTTCTTTTTCTATGGAGGATGTAGTGTGTTATATATTGGGGAAACCAAAAAGCTAGGTGTGTCATAGACGACAATTATTGGCTGTATATGTCTGTGATACACTGGTGTGCAAGTTATGGTACAAAGTTAGTTTGAAGTACTCTTTAAGTCTTAACACATCTCTTTGAGAATTATGATTTAATAATTAAATTCCTTGGGCATAATTAATTAACAATATGATTTTGAGCAGAGGGGCATCATCATCATCATCATCATTACTATTATCATCATCATCATCATCATGCTCACAACAGCAGAAATGGGGGTTTAGAGATATGCAGCAGAGTGAAGGAGGAGTGGAAGACGGGTCAATGGACCCGGACGAGTTGGCCCGCACATACTGGCACTTGCACGTTCAAGACCGTTCCGCTTGGACCCAAGAGATCGACCTCCGCTCCTTCAGATCCACTTTCTAATTTTACTCTCTCTTAAATTCCCCCCCACCAAATTTTTATATCCAGATTCATCTGTCCTGTTCCATCCCCAATTATTCCAAAGTCACGTCACAGCTGTACTTTCTTCTTTTTCTTTTTCTTTTTTTTTTATTTCTTTCTCTTCCAAATTTTATTATGCTCGTAATTTATTTTTTTTAAAGTGTTTGGGTTTCTGTATCTAATTAATTAATTAAGGAAGATTGTAATATATATATTTCTCGGAAGAATGATGGCAAGGAGAGGGATGATGAGGGTGGGTAATTAATGAAGGTAAATTTACCATCATGCCCTCTCATAGGAAGGGTGAACAGTGATTTACAAGGGACATAATGGTAAAAAAATTTCGTATACCTCACCCTACTCATTGCCCTAACCTTATCCTTGCTCTATCATTTTTCTTCTCAAAATGTATATGGAGTAACCTTTTTTGGTTTCTTTACGGATTATAATTGCTGTCACAGATTGATACGTTAGCTAAAGGCTGTTTGTTTGAGTTGTTTGCACTATGCATTTCTTGTTAATCCTGTGATTACTGTTGAGAAACTTTGGATTTTAATCTATTTTAATAATACTATTAAAACATGAAACTTATACTTGACGGAGTTTAACTCTACCGGCTATTACTCTCGTATATCTCTCGGTGATTATGGAAATAATATTGAAGAAGAGACAAGAATATTGAATTCAAGAATTAGAAGAAAAAACTATCTCTAGTCAAAACCCTTTTGGGGATATTTATAACATCTAAACTTCCTAATCATGTTAGGTTTTTCTTAGAGAACTTAAGTTACTCTTACTCCAAGTAATCCAAGTCATAGTCGGTCCAACCCATCAAGCTTATCCTTCAGCCAGGATGGGTTTTACCAATCTATTCACCCACTAGTCCACTCCTCAGGTTTGGACCTTAGCGCAGGGTCTATTAATTGGGATAACTATATTTAGCTAATTACTTTAAAAACTACATCTACAGATTAAATTAATGTGGAAGAAATATTAAAAGCAAAAATTCAAATTAAGTATTTATAGAGCCGAAAAAAGTATATACTAGAAATAAATACCGGAAAAGTCTAAGATTCGTTGGGATGGTTTGCTACCCAAAATACTACAACCATCACTTATAGAAAATATTTTGAGTTAGAGAAATAAAAGAAGTTGCCATACTTCTAAAAATAAACCTAAGAACCCCAAAAGACAAAGACTAAAACTATGTCTTCAAATCTTGAGGTCTTGAACAAGTTCTTGATATGTACGTCTTCTTAAACAGTTATAGAGCATTCTAGTCCCATGGACTTCCTCCAAAAGTATTTAGGCATTTCTCATTGATCAAAACACAAGGATCAACAATATTTTCCTTATTAGGCTGCTGAACCTTGACCCTGGCCACCAGGAGGCCGCAAGCCCACTTTTTCTAGGAGGTGGTGAAATCTCGAAACGTATTTCCTCCAACGATGTAGTTACATTCGTGATTCCTTTTAGCTCTCCCCTGGCCCATCCTCATCATCTTCCTCACTATACAGACCATTTTGCTTTTATTTTGAGGTGTCCCGGGATCAGCACGGGACACATGGTCCCCCTTTCGCTTCCAAACCCGGTTGCCTCATGGATTATTACGAAACGCCAGAGGTGGCCCTTCTAGATCAACTTTTCCAATTCATTCTTCAGGGTGCAATAGTCTTTGGTGTTATGATCATTTGTTGGATGATACTCTCACCATTTGCCCCGTGCTCTCCACCTTCATCACTTTGTTAATTAGGCCAAGCTCGGTAGGTTACTAGTTCCTTCTGACGGGTGTAGTGCAGTATCTCCCAACATGCTGGGTGAATGAGGATAATTTTTTAATGTCTGGGCAAGAATTCCAACGAACATGATGGGTGACCAGGACCGCCTTTCGGACCATTGGGAAAGTCCTTCTCCCTGTTCTTACCGTTCTTGTTTGCCCCATCATTCGATGTGCCAGGGGCATCTTCTGGCCCCTCGTCCCTCTCCTCCAAGTTCACATACCTATATTCCCTTTCCATGGCCTCCTCAAGTCTGCTTGATGAATGGTCAAGTTGGTGCAGAATGGGCCTTTAAGGAGGGAGGTCGTAAACATCGCTAAGAGGGATTTATAATCCGCCCATTCTACCTCTTGGAATTCTTTTCTCCATCAAGCAAGGAAATTTTATAGACTCGCCCTTCTTCTGCCTGATGGAGGCCGGTGGGTGAAGTGTTTCATGGGTTTGAAACTCCCAAAAACATATTTTAAGAATTTTGCTGCTAATCCCCTCTAGTAATCGATATTTCGTGTGGGATTTGAATTTAACCAACTCACGACTGTGCTATCTACCGTTTGTAGGAAACAACGGCATATCCGATCATCTTCTACCCCAACGGCCTGCATGTTGTTGTAATAGCATCTCCAATGCTTTTCCGAGTCAGTCTCTCTGTTATACCTCTTTATTGGCGAGACTTTGGATCTCATAAGGTACGGGTATGCTGAAAGATAACCATGCAAGGATAGACAGCAGAATATAAAAATTTTTAACATCCTAACATGATTATCTTGTCCAGAATCACGTACTAAAACTTATAGTAAGTAAGAAATTTATACCTTTCTCCGTAAGCGGTAAAAACGAAGAAGCCGTAGGAAGAGCGTTGAAAGTGCAAACGTAACCGTTCAAGTGTCCGGTCTTCAACTTTGACACACGAACAACGCCGGAGTCTACCACAATCTTTATGCTAATAAAGATTATAGTAGTATAAAATATAAAGATTAAAATTGGGATAATAATAATCTTGTATATTTTTTTATAAAATATTTCTAATAATATTTAGAAAATATTATAGATATTTTCTATACACAAAATGATATTAATGGAACCAAAATATTATTTTCTCTCACTAGAAAAATTATGGCCGAAAGTATACCAAACTAATCAATTGATGATCTTCACCCATTATAATGAAATTGCCGTGCTTTTAAAAAGCAAAGATTACAAATTGATTAATCATAATTTGTCATTAAGCCAAATGTTAAAATAATGAACTATTAATCAAAGACTCATTTGATCTTTTAAATCCTTATAGCCGAAGAAACGATGATATGAGAAAGATTTGTGAAATTCTTCTCCACTTAATAAGTGTTCAAAGTGTATTTTATTTAACACCAAAAATTAATATAAAATGAATTTTAAATCAAATAAAAATACCAATATCATTTTTAAACAAGTATACAACTATACTTTAAATAGTTTATGTCAAAATAATTATTTCATAATTAAAATGACAAAACAAAATAAAATATTCAATATATATATATATATATATATAAATCGGTACAAATATATATAATATATATATAACCGAATTTCATATATATAATATTATATTCCAAAATATTTTATTTTACTATTTTACAAATATACAAATTACTTATTATCCCATTGTTTAATCCTACTCCTTAAATTGTCCAAAGTGTGTGACCCGTATATGTACTTATAAAGTTGGCTACTATATTGGCTCTGCACCAATACTATAAAGCAATAAGCGGTATCTAGCAACACATTATTGCCCCCAGATTATAAGTTAAGACGTTTGCCCCGTCAAAAACCTTTCCACGACTCAGACTCCGTGTAACTGTATCCCTTTGTCTCAATGTCTAAACTTAATGCAAGGGATTAATAAAAAGGGATTAATAAAATCCAGCTTGTATCCATTAAGTCATTCACTGATTTATCAAGTCTGACTGATAGGAACAGACGTCATAAAAACATCTCAGCATGTCCATGTAATATCCTCAGTCATAACTTATCAGTGAGCCCTATAAGACATTAATCTCTTTAAAAAGAGTAGTGACAAATCCTATGTACGTAATCTACGTTTCTGAATACGCGCTGCGGCATACCCAAAATAAAGCCTATATACCATCCTTATTTCATATGGCTTAGGACAATGCATCAAAGCATGCGGGTTCACATATGCAGAAAACGTAATACTTCAAGTCGAAGGATTGTTATACCCGTGGTCGCACTAAAGATGCTTAGAGCATGTAGAATTTGTGAATTGAACTGGTTGAGGAATTTCATTGATTCGAGAGGATATATATATATATGCAAGTTACAAGCCCAACAAGATAGGCCCAAGATAAACACAAATAATACAAGGAATATAAAATATGTACAATATACGCTAACACTCCCCCTCAAGTTGGAGCATAGAGATCAAAAATGCCCAACTTGGATAAAAGAGAATGAAAAAGAGGACCAGGGAGTGCCTTTGTGAATATGTCTGTTGTCTGTAATCTCGTGGGAACATAGGCTGTCACGAGCACGCTGGAGACACTCGCGAACAATGTGACAATCAATGTCAATATGTTTGGAACGCTCATGGAAGACTGGGTTGGCCGCAATGAAGAGGGCAGATTTGTTGTCACAATATAACCGCGGAGTAGCCACACAAGGAACATATAACGCTGCAAGTAGTCCTCGTAGCCAACGTATTTCAGCACATGCATTGGCCATGGCGCGATACTCAGCTTCTGCTGATGAACGGGAGACCGTGGTTTGCTTCTTAGTGCGCCAAGCTAAGCGATAGGAGAACCACCAAGTAAGACGAAATAACCTGTGACAGATCGTCGTGTGAGAGGACAACTCGCCCAGTCTGAATGAGAAAAAGCCGTTAGGGTCAAGTCACTATCACGACGAAGTAAAATACCCTGACCAGGATGCCCCTTAAGATACCGAAGAACACGTAAGGCGGCATTCCAATGATCCAACCTCGGAGCCTGCATAAATTGAGACAAAGCATGAAGAGCATAGCAAATGTCGGGTCTGGTGATGGTCAAATACAACAAACGCCCAACAAGACGACGATATTTGGCAGGATCCCGAATCTCAGCAGTGGTGGAACGTGCGAGATTATGATTACTAGGCAAAGGAGTGTCAGCAGGCTTGCAACCAGACAGATTATGTTCTTGAATAATATCTAAAGTATATTTGCGCTGATTGAGAACCATATCAGTGGAAGAGTGAGCACACTCGATACCCAGAAAATAAGAGACAGGATCGAGATCTTTAAGCTGAAAACATGCATCCAAATACTTCTTAAAAGAAGAACACAAGCAGGGATTATTGCCTGCAACAAGAATATCATCCACATAAATAAGAACAACAAGCATATCAGGTCCACGACAAAGAATAAAGAGAGTATGATAAGCATGTGCCTGACGAAAACCATAATGTCGAAGTGCTAGACGAAGTTTGGCAAACCAATTACGGGGAGACTGACGTAACCCGTATAAGGACTTTCGCAACCAGCAAACCTTCCCGAGAAATAGATGAGAATAGCCAGGAGGAAGCTTCATATAAATCTCATCTTGAAGATCCCCATGCAAGAAAGCATTATTAACATCCAACTGATCAACTTGCCAACCGCGAGCGACGGCGACAGACAATAAAACCCGAACTGTAGTCAACTTAGCCACAGGGGCAAAAGTATCTGTGAAATCAATGCCCAGCTCCTGATGATTCCCCAATACGACCAGACGTGCTTTGTCCCGCTCTTTGGTACCATCAGACTTATACTTGGTACGGTACACCCACTGACACCCAAGTGCCCGCAGATTAGGAGGAAGGACAGTAATCTCCCAAGTACGGTTCCTTTCCAACGCAGTGAACTCCTGTGCCATAGCTTCCCTCCACGAAGCAAATTTGACGGCCTCACAATAAGATTTAGGAACCAGAGAAGCATCAATAGTGCCAAGAAAGTCTTTGTACATGTCATGTAACTTATCATAATGAACATGGTTAGTGATCGGGAACCGTGTACCAGACGAGACGGAGGCGGATGAAGAGGAAATCGGAGTATCAACTGTAGCAGAATGAAGGACATAGTCATTGAGGTGGGATGGGAGACGACGAGTTCGAGGTGGCAAAGGGACTGGAGAGTCGGGTAGAGAAGTGGGCTCTCTCGATGGAGAGGGCTGAGTGACTGATGGAGAAGCTGACGGGGACTGCTCGGGTGACGAGGACTGTTCGGGTTGAGTGGATAACGAGGGAAGTAGAGGTTCTGTTTCAGTTTGGGAAGTGGGTGATTGGGACAGAATTTGCACGTCGGGAAAATTGATGGAAGAGGGATTTAATACGGGTTGGGGAGAGGGGGAAGAAGATGGAATGGAAAAAGGGAACTGGGTTTCATCAAAGACAACATCCCGAGTGTGAAAAAATTGGTGAGTGTCGAGGTTGTAAACGCGCCATCCTTTGGTACCATATGGATACCCTACGAACATGCATTTCACACTACGAGGAGAGAACTTGTTTGTAGGTTTACGTGTCTGACGAACAAAACACAAGCAACCGAAGACCCTAAGATGACTCAAATCCTGTGGCTTAGAAGATAAAACATCGAGAGGAGATTTCCCCCCCAAGGAGTTCGATTGATTAAGTAGACAGCTGTTTAACACATTCCCCCCAAAACTCAATCGGAAGAGAGGCTTGAAACATAAGAGAGCGAGCAACATTTAGGATATGACGATGCTTACACTCGACTCTACCATTTTGTGGGGTGCCGACGCACGATGTTTGTACACAAACACCCATAGATTCATAGTATTAACGTAAAGGTGTGTTTAGAAACTCGGTACCATTATCTGAACGTACAACTTTAATTATTTTAGAGAATTGGGTGTGAATCATAGCAAAAAACCGCTTAAGACAAGCTGAAACCTCACTTTTGGATCGAATAAGATACACCCAAACAGCACGAGAAAAATCATCAACAATGGTGAGAAAATAATGAGCACCAGACGACAAACAAGGGGAATAAGGACCCCATAAATTACAATGAATTAAATCAAAAATAGCTTGAGCTTTGTTATGGCTGATAGGAAAAGATGAGCGAGTCTGTTTGGACAAAAAACAAATTTCACATGCTTGAAGTTTCTTGAAAACAGAATTGGACTTACTGGAATTAATGAAAGGAAAAATATATGTGGAGGGATGACCCAAACGTTGATGAAGAAGGAGGGGATCCACGTTAGCCACATTAGCCAACGCAGGGGTGGAAGCCAAGATGTATACTCCGTTTCACAGTTCTCCCTGTCCAATCACCATCTTCGACGAACGTTTCTGTATCACACAACCATAATCATTAAAAGTAACATAACAGGTGGTGTCCCGAATCAAACACCCAACAGAAATCAAATGACAATGTAACGTTGGGACAAAAAACACATGATGAAGAACTAGATGAGGAGACAAGCGGACACTCCCCTTTTTAGTGGCTTGAATCCTGTAACCATCGGGAAGACATATAGGATGAGAAGATACATCTTCAATATTAAACAAGTGAGATAAAGTTCTCGTCATACGATGAGAAGCACCGCTATCAATCAACCAATCACACGAGGTAGTTGTCATCGTGTTAATTTTATGGTGATGTTTTTACACCAAACAAATTCAAACTGGTGGACAAATAGCAAAGTGGTCAACAAAGAAATCTGGACAAACAGAGTCGGACAAACTGCCGACTCAAAATTCTTCGCAAACGATCGGAAACAGAGAGGGATAGATGGCGTGCCGAATCTGGGCGAATAGGCGAACAGGGATGGGCGAATATGACCGGAAAAGGGACAACAACTGGTGAATCTGACTGGAAAAGGAACAGGAATAGGGACGGGCGAACGGTGAATCTAGGCAGCGACTTCAACTGGTGGATCTGACAAGCCTTCTTTGCAAACGACCGAAAAAAGGGACGGGCGAACAGGGATGGCTGAACGATGAATCTGGGCGGCGTCTTCACCGGGTGATTCTGACAAATCTTCTCCGCAGGCGACCGGAAAAGGGACGGGCGAACAATTGGAAGGACGAATCTTCTTCACCTGCGACTTGGACAGAGACGGGCGTCCAGAACCGGAACGGACGAACGATGACGATGGTCGATCCTGGTGACAGCGGAAGCAATTGACTAGAGCAAAACACGGGTTAGGTTACGAGGAATGCTCTGATACCTGATACCATGTAGAATTTGTGAATTGAACTGGTTGAGGAATTTCATTGGTCCGAGAAGATATATATGCAAGTTACAAGCCCAACAAGATAGGCCCAAGATAAACACAAATAATACAAGGAATATAAAATATGTACAATATACGCTAACAGAGCATGAACTAAAAGTTCAAGAAACATCTTTAGGATGGGTCAGTCCGGCATCCTATTATCTCTAGATAATATCTGCCCATGTGCGGATGCGAACATACCGTCATTGACTATGAGACTAAGTCAAACATCCAACACACACAAGTCTCACATGCATTAACGATATCTCACTCTCGTTAATATTCGACTATGGACGTTCAGAGAAATATTTATTTCAAGATGTTAGTCTCATCAGCAGAAAAACACGATCTGATAAACATCATTAAATATAAATCTAGGAATATAATATTTGTTTACATTAGTATGAGATGTGTAAACATATTATATCTGCCTATACATGATAGAATAACGATAAAATAGTTGGCCATCAGGGCACAACTCCAACAATCTCCCACTTGCACTATGGCCAATCTGGCATTGGTCGAATACCCATGGACCTAGTGTGACCCTCATGCTTTAGCTTTCCTAAAGGCTTGGTCAAGGGATCGGCTATGTTGTCGTCAGTATCTACTTTGCAAATCATCACATCTCCTCGGTCTACGATTTCTCGTATGATGTGATAGCGTCGTACAATGTGTTTGGTTTTCTGGTGAGAGCGCGATTCCTTTGCATGTGCAATGGCCCCAGTGTTGTCGCAAAACAACAGGATAGGGTCATTAATACTAGGAACCACCTCTAGTTCAGTGATGAACTTCTTGACCCAAACAGCTTCCTTAGCTGCCTCGGCGGCAGCTATGTACTCAGCCACCAAAGGAACTACTAACGCACTAGTTAGAAAGTATATGAACATGTGGAGCACTTTTACTATGAACCTGTAGGAACTAAATACGGAGTATAATTTAGGGACCTGTGGAGTATAATTTAGGGACCTGTGGAGCACTTTTAAAAATATATAGGGATTTAGTAAGCACTTAAAATAATTTAGGGACTTGGGAAGCACTTTCAAAAAAATATATGGTCCTCGTAAGCACTTTACCCTAAACTATTTGTATAACCAATTTCAGCAGATCATTGTCTCATTGTTAATGTTAGTACACTTAGTTACAGAAAGAGTTAACAGCCAACCACCCAAAGGTAGCCTGCAGCAAAGTTAGAACTTCACTTGATGCTGCTCAGATTATAGCTACCTTTTACCCAACTTCTATGCTATTCGATACCGAGGAGAAAACTGCTTTAGAATTAATTTATACCTTTTAAGCTTTGAGAGAGAAAATGGTTGAAGAATTCACAGTTTTTTGACCAGATTAGCTACCAAAATTAATAGTCAGCATGGAGGAAGCCTTCATAAGCCGTTCCTTTCAGTGTTCTTCTAACATCATCCCAGTTCTTGATATGCTTCCATAATGGCCCACTGTGTATCTTAACTTGACAACTACTCAGATTCATCACTGGCAGTCTTAAGAACTTCAAAGCATCCATTGTTTTCTGGAACAAAAGCCATACAAATAAGCAATCAGATCATATAAGTTGAACCCAAGAAAAGTGTTTAAAAGAGGATGTCCTAAAGCTTCTAAACCCCATTTTTTAGTTGTTACTTTCATGCAAAAAACATTAAATTCGTGGGTATCATACGGGCTCTTAGGATTTCTCTAGGCATCAATGAATGTGTCTTACAGTCCGGTTTCTGACAAGATCTTCATAGTATAAAATGATATGGCGTGTGTTGTTGAAATGGTGAAGTGCTTCTCTGGCCACCATATCTGTTTGATTCAATTCCGACATCAACGATGCCGTGTTGATGAAAGGCTTGTACTTCGCAAGAGTATCAGCCTACAAGAAGAGGGTATCAGATTAAATTTAGTGCATAAATCAAAGATTTCACGTTTTGAGAGAAAGATATATACATACAGAAACAGACCTCTTCGGTTGAGTGAACGTGAGACTTGTGGGTCCCGTTCAAGAGTTTGGCATAGCGATCGTACGAATTTGCAAGCAATGAAACCATTCGGCGGAGTAGATTTCTTCGGAAAAGAAATATTACAGAAACGCCTTTTTCATTCAAGTAGTCAACAATTTCTCTTGGGTGCTCCATCACACCCTGCACCAGTCGGTCATGAGAACACATCTTAAACGCCTTCCAGTGAAATAATTTAAAAAGACAGCAACAAAATTGTCTTTTACTTGAACTAGCATTCCCAAAAGCTAGTATAGAGCATATTCACTCTACAAGTATAACTAATGGCAGCTCAAGACACACCTTAAGTGAAAACATCAATATAGATGAATTTCTAGCTCTTTGACAAGTGAGCCACAAGCAAAACTGACTAATGTAAACATTGATTAAGCTGCCTGTTAACCTAAATGTGAATAACAAGAATTTTTCTTCATAATACAATCCATCTTCTTTGTTACAATGAAAATTCATTTATTAAAGGGTAAAAAAAGAACAAACTTTGATTCACAAAGTATTTTTTTCTTCCCTGTTCTGGCAGATGCCTAATTCCAGGATTCCATGCCAATTTTAGAGTGATAGAGCGACAGTAAAAGAATGCTCATAGCAAATTCAAGAATCCACCAAAATGACCAAATGCTTCCCAAGGATACAATATGTTGAAATACATCTCAGACGTCAAGAAGGGACACATTATTTTATTTTTGGTACCTGATTAAGCATCCATTTGAAACCAACTGCGGCCGAACACTGATTCTTTGATGCACTAGTAAGCCAGTCCAGATTGTAAACTCTGTCTAGAGTCTCTACAATTGATGAAAAATTCTCCCTCCGTTCTTTGATAGAGAATATTTCACCGTTGGAACTTACATTCACATGACTATTCAATAACGTCTCGAACCATCCACTCCCAGATCTTTGCATTGTCAAAATGACAAAGAACCGAACAGGATTACAAACACATTCATCCCTGGCAGTCATTGACAACAAGAGAAGGCATAAATGCTGAAGGTGTATGTAAAAAACAAGGCAATGGTTGTCAAGTTCATACCTGCTAAAAGTTTTTGGCTTCGGATAATGCAAATAGGGAATCTGAGATCTATCAATGTCAAGGTGAACACAATGCCTATTTATAGCTTCAAGATTCAACACATTATTTTCTCTGTCAGTGCAAGACTGGTTTAGATACGCAGAGAAGATAAATACACCACAGACCATTGCTAATACTACGAGCACCACCCTGAAAATCGCCGGAGATTTCTTTGGAGGTTTTATGATGAGGGTGCCCTGTAATCCGAATGAATTAACCAAATGAACCCAGTTGGTAGTACACATTTCCTAAGACATGCCAAATTTGTATAAGCTGAAGATTTTGTTGAAACAATAGCACCATATTCTTAAAGTTACTATTTTTATAATAGTTCTTTTCTTTTTTTATCTGGAGTAGTTTTAGAATTTGAGACAGGTCGTGCTTGGTTGTGTCCAACAGATTAGGTAATGGTACAACTCATAAGTTTTGAAACTCAGACCAAGATCTACAAACAGGGAAAGCATCGAATTATGGGAGTATGACTTATCAGCTAAACCTCACTAATAAACTTGTAAAGATTACTTTTTGAAGGCGAATTGTTACACCAAAAGAGTAAAGCAAATTGTGAAACTCGGCCCTCTCATAAACACAAAATTTCAGCACACATTCTCATGAAAATTAGCTTAATTGAAAGCTCTATTAAGAACTTATAAAACCCAGAAAAGAAGAAACTGAACGCAGGCAACAGGAAAAAGAATCGTAAAGAACAGACCTTTGTGAAGAAGCAGATTTGCTCAGCCATTACAGCTCCAGAGAGGAGAAGTGATGAAAACCCACAAAGGGTTTTCTGCAAAGAACACAAATAGTTGGTCTAACAATGTATAATCGGCATTCCCTCTTTATACTCCTGGCTACGGCGGGCAACTTCAGCTGTCTGGTGGTGGTGTGGGCTGTGTCAACCTAAAGAAAGCTTCTTGGGAGTTGGGAGGAGGGAAGAAGACTCAGTTTCTTGAAATTCTTGATTCACTTTATGTTTTGGAATCATGACGCATCATAAAAGGTAATGACTATACAAGTGTTGCAGACACAGTTAGCTGTATGTTTTCGGACCTAAGTTGTGGGTTCCCCACGGGGAAAAAAGACCAAGAAACCAAAGTTATACCTAACAGAACTGGATTTCAACAATTGGAGTTTTAAACTCTATAGCACCCAAATGACCCAATAATATTAAAATTAAGACTGAATTCTATAAACAAACATATAAATTATTATTACCCAAATATTAAGACTGAATTCTATAAACAAAGTTTTACGGATTACGGAGCATAATATAAGGAATCAAAAATATTCGTGATCTTTTATATTAAAAAATTATTCTAAAAGAAATTTCTTGTTAAAATGATGTGTAAAATCACGTGACTATTAAAATGATTTTATTTATGAATTGGTATTGAAATAAAAAATAAAAATTATATATTCAAAAATTATATCGAAAGTTTTATTAAATAAGAGTTGACGATAATATTTTATTTTATCAAATAATCAATGAAAACATAGAAGCAAATAAAAATTACCGAGAAACTGTAATCGTAAATAGATAATCATTTTGAGACGAAGAGAGTAAAATAAGTTAATTGTGCAACACATGATGAAAATTTATCTTAATCTTATATACAAAGTATTTGATAACTTTGTTTTAAAGAATAAACTTCTCAAATACATTTGACTTTGAAACCAAAAATTTGAAATAGAAAACTATATTGGGCAACTCACTATGAGGTATGGTTCCCCCTTTTTTGTGCATCCTCTTTTGTCAATTCAACTTCACATCAGTTTTTCCTTTTACTTCTTCTTCTCTTTCCTTGTCAAGGGTGTGGTTCTCATTCCCTTCCCCTTTCCTTTCCAACTTTTAATGTAATCTTTTAACACTTATTTTAATTAAAATAATTAGGCTTAAAATATATAATACAATACAAATTTGCATAATTAAAATTTCAATTGAACGCTTCATTAAAATTAAAATAAAAATACAATAAAATTGAAACATACTTCAATAAAAGTGCATAAAAAAGTACATCCTTAAAAAATAGTGTCTAGAAAAAATCTAAAGACCTCTTTTTGGGTCGTCACCCCCGCACCTCCAAACCACCTCCGGGATATCTTATCTTTCCTCATCATCGAAACTGCACGCTCCGTCGAACCAAGATTATCAACATCGGTGGTCATGATTATGAAGTCTTTTTGCTCAAGCTTGCTGCTTAAGCCAAAGCATCTCCGCTTGTAATTCAGTAAAGGTGGCCAACGTAGTAGTGAGATGATCGAACCCTTTAACCAAGGATTCAGTTGCCATGCACGAGGATCCCTCTCCTTTTTTCGTCCGGTCCTTACCGATGGGTCATTCCGGCTTCGGTGGTGTTGGTATGTCGTCATCATCATCACTGATGCTCGATATCCAACACGCATCGTATATGCCGGCACTGTACTTTACCACTTTAAAAGTTTTGGCATGTTTCAATTGGGCGGCCTCGTTTGGAATCGAGGCCCACTTAGAACGTCCGTTGAAGATTTTCCTCACCTTAAGTTGAGGGAATGCACAAAGTTACGCTTGATATTTTTCAAATGTCAACCTCAACACCTCGTCGTCACTCATACCACTCGGACGATTGAGGTAAAAATTGTTGTAGAAACCAGAAAACTGTTACTCGTAAAATAGATGTTAAAAATTAAGTAATTAAAACACTATTAAAAAGCTAATATAGTTCTTAACTTCCTAGTTATAACTTTTCATTTGAAGATGTTCTAACATTCTGATGGATATCAGACCTTGGAGAAAGCCCAATGGGGCCCAAATGAGATTTCGAGATCCAACAGGAATAGAACCCGAATCCAGATCAGGAGGAGAGGCCGAAGCCCAAGGAACAGGTGAAGTGGCGAGCCAAGTCCGACCCAAAGAGGTGGATTAAACATGGTGTAAGAGGAAAACATAATTCCCCAAATCGTGGGATTGAGGGACTGATTGATGACTGATTCTCTGCCACGATTGATGCATGATAGTTGATTTACCGATAATGTAGCGCACGAAATTGCATACCTTGTATACGATAGAATTAAACTATAAATAGGGGGTGAATCCTCCATTGTAACTCAAGCTTAATCTACCTAATAGAAGCGTACGAGGATTATATATTTCATCTATATACTAGTTATTCTCATTCAAGTCTTCGTACCATCATAGTTGTTTGGTTGAAATCCATCAGATTCATAAGTGTATCGAATGTGTCGTTAAGGCCACCACCTAAACACATGCAACATTTAAAATCCATACGGGCACCTTTTTTCCAAAGTCTCCTTACACCACCACAAGC